GTAAGGGTTGACTTGGAGTTTTTTGTTTTGTTTTTCTAAGTTTAGTTTAATGGATGGGGTACAGCCTTGATGAACCAGCAGGCCCTTTGTTGTACTTAAATTTTATATGTCTAATGAGGTTTCGACCAAGTGCCATGCAAGAGATGAGCTAAGAGTATTACATCACTAGAGGTTGAGTATTATAGGGTGGTTGTATGGGAGAAAGCAAGATGTTATTATTAATGAAGTCCAGTAAAACTGTACTAGGGTTGCCAACTGTCCTACTTAGAGATAAAAATGTGTTTATGTTTTACTACAACTTTTGTCGAAGTGTTTATTTACTTTGGTTATGAGCTGTCCATGTGAACAAGTGTGATGGGGGGGGGGCAAAAAGTGCACTCATTTGTGAGACATTCTTTATGAATGGCCCCTTATAAAACAGTCCTACTTCAAATTTTCAAGTGTTGGCAACCCTAAACTGGACCTTTGTTAATAGTGAAGTGCCTTATAGGTCAGTGCTTGAGCCTTTGCATTTTGTTATTTACATTAATTTAAAACTAATATGTCTATAACTACCTGGGCAATTTCTAACACCTCCTTTGAGAAGAGAATAATGTTAGCCAACCTGTAGTCTTTTGGTACATGCTCACTATTCAAGAACTTGCAAAAAATAAAGTGTTAGCAAGTGGCACACAATATCCAGTCATTAACCTCCTTTATAACTCTTGAAAAAATATCTGGTTGAGGACCTTGCCAATCTTTAAACTTCACAGTGTTTTCTTAACAAGCCAGTACTTAATGTGATCATCTTCTTTGATCATGTTTCAATCTAGTTCACACCCTTTCCATTGTCCAAATAAACCGGCTTTAAAAATTATGGAAAAAGTACATATATGTATTTTCTTACCAATTTGTTAGATGCTTTTAATAAGGCCACTGTTCTAGATGTAGGCATCCTGGGTGATATTATATGTGTATACATAATGTAAGGAACCTCTTAACTAGAGACTTGGTTCACTGTTAGCTTTTGTTTTTGTTAATCTCTAATCTTTTGTCACAAAAGTTATTGGTAAGTCATTCTGAGGTAATGATAACAATCTTATTTTATTTACATTACTCAAAACATTCATACTCCATGTTACAACTATGAATTTACAATTACTGCTGCTCACTAAGATAGATCACTTTTGTTATTTAGTTGTAGCCTACATTTACCTAAGTTTACATAATCATACAGCTTAACAGGTTTTCCCATGCACATTTGTTACTGCTTCAACCACAAAATCTGCCAGCCTTTTTGTGTGAATGAAGCAGCAACACAAGCCTACAATAAGCTAGGTAAGTAAAATATTCATAGAGTTTTAATGTTTTAATATAGTAAATTAATTTAAGAAATATGAGTATAAATAACACAAGTTAAATAAAAATGAAGTTAACATTGAATCATTACACTAACATATGGACAATAAGGGACCATTTGGCCCTTCTAGGCTGTCCTTGCACACACACTTTTAAGGAAAGTAAATATTTAAACCCAATCTTTATTTTTCAAAAATTCTTTACTTTTCCTTCTTAAACTCTTGTAAACAAACTGCTAGTCTTCACTTCTGACACTGGCAACTCATTCCGTAACTGAATCACCCTGTTAGAATAATAAAACTGTCTTAATTGGAACCTAGCTTGTCTTTGTTCAAATCATAAACTTGTATTCTTCATCCAATTATCTTTAGAATATACAGTGTAGCAAAAAAAGAATCAGAGGCCTTTGTCCTATTAATGCCTCTGGATAATTCTATAAGCCTTAATAGTATCATTTATTACCCATTTTCTGAAGAGAAAATAAGATATTTTAACCTATCCTATCAGATACCCATCTATTCCTGGTGTCATACTGGTAGACAACCTCTGAACCCCTTCCAATAAGTCACTATCCTTCCTTAGATAACATAAAGATCCAAACTGTATGTACACAGTATTCCATGTCAGGCCTAACTAGTAGTTTGTATACCTTTGACTTTTAAAAAAGACTGACAAAGTGCTTCATAAATTAAGTAGTTAGTTACATAAAACACTGATGGAAAGATGAAAAAGCTAATGAAAAATTGGCTTAGAGGTAGAAAGTGGGTGTTTTTTACTTTTGTTTTCATCATTTATTTTAATACTTTGAATAGCTTTTTGGGTAATAATATTTCTAAATTTTCTTGTGACACTAAAATGTTGAAAAAAAAGCTTATTTATAAAAACTGACTGTTCTTTGTGAATAATATAGAATCAAAGATAAGTTTTAATATTGAGAATTATAAATTGGGCACTTAGGGTAGAAAGCTGGGGTGTGCAATTTTTGAAGAAAAAAATCTCGTCCAAGGGTCAAAATGCTAGAAAAATCTATTTGTTCTTCATTAAAATCCACCTGTCTCCCCTTCACCATTCCACAAAATATAGACACAAGTTAAATATAATTTTTAGGATTTTGCTATTATTGAACAGTGAACAATAGTTGGTATTGCTGTGTTCATCCAATTTACATTAAATTGTTCAAACTTAAAATACACAATATAGTAAGGAATGAAGATAACAAACACTCAAATAGAACACTAAAAATAACATTTTGACCAAAAAGTCATCATCAGAAGATGATGAACCCAATCAGTTAGTGACTTAATAATTATCTTTGCTTCATGAAAGTAAATAGAGAGAACATAATTCAGACTAAACATACTTGCTAAACTGGGCACATCAAAGTTTTGTATATGACACTTGGTAAAACAAAAAGAATAATTTTTCTTTCTTTTTTTTCACATTTCACTTATATTTACATACAGTGTCATTGTACTTTTCTGTTTTTGTGAAAGTTGGTTTCTTTACCTTAGCTATATATAATTTACATGTCACACTACTTATGTAGATCATTTACTTTAGAAATTAATTTGACAGAGTGCTGTGTAAGCCATCTTGATTTCATTCGCCTCTGTTTTTATTTCTGTTCTTGGTTCCGTTTTATATATGAAATTTTAAATGTTGAAATATATTCAGACATTGCATTAGAAATATTTGCCTGTTTTCTTATGTTTCTTTATTTACTGTACAGACATTATATGTAATCTACATGTTGCATGTCAAGCTATTTAGGTAGAAGATTTAATTCAAAAACTGATATGGTGAGGTAGTTTTGCGGTTCATATTCACTATATTCAGAGGTAGTGTTAATGCAGTATTCCGCTGTATATATATGCAGGAACTTTTAATAAAATGCAAAAAAATAATAACATTGTTTTCCAAAATGCAAATGTTACAAGACCTACTGATTAAAATTATGAAGCATTTTTTTTATGTAATGCAATGAGAAGAATGTTCCACTGCTCCAAGCATCCTTTAAAAAAAGGGGAGACCCAGATGCATATATATAAAAAAACCGTAGGAGACCAGTAAGAAGGAGTGAACTAGCCTTTCTTTTCACTATACTCCTTAGTTGAGAATATTAACACTATTGTTACCACAATGAAACTAATGTTGTCTGAGTAGGCTCAGTGTTTTTTTTTATTACTTATACTCTGTTGTTAGGTAAAGGTATAATGATTAAAACTTTTATATCACATATATGTTATTTTAACTTGGTTTGACCTTTTAGGTTAGTTTAGGATTTTATATTTGGCATTGATTAATCTCGAATGCAGTAATAGCCCGTTTACTACTCAGGAAGGGTTTCTGAGAACAGAGCTCTAAATGATTCAGCTCTAAACAGGGTCATTTTAACATTACATATATGGAGATATGTAACTGAAGGCATTGTTTCTTACCTGTGAAAAATGTACTTTATTTAGGTACTGGTAAATTTAATGTAAATTACTCACTATAATATCATCGTTGCTGGAAAAAAAGCAAATTTTTATTAGCCTTCAATTTAGTTTGGTTACAGAGCCATCAAATAGAAAATCAGACCCCTCATTCCATGCCCCCCAGTCACATCCCCTCTTTTGGGATTTATCAATACACGTAGCTCTCTCTTACATTTAGTTATAATCGATAAAAAGGCAAGGTTTTTGTCTATCAAATGAAGTATTATACACTATACATGGAGATGTATTGGATGTTTTAAAAGCCACTTCTGCTATTTATACAATTGTGAGCAGAAAATCAATGAACAGTATGTTGTGAAAGTTGGTGTGTAGCCCAACTTGACCAAGTGATAGACAACATAAATGGCCATGTGAAATATTATGATGACATCATAGTTACATTACATGGTATCCCTGGGTTTAACAGGCATTATCCAAAATCACATTCAAGCAGTTTTCAGTAAATCATTACAATGAATGCATTGTTTTTTGCTTGGTCGAATTAGTTTACATTCTGAGTTTTATAACATTTTGTTCATCAGTTTCCTGAATATAGCCATCTGAACAGTGGAAGTGGCTTTTGAAATACCCATGGTACTTTTCAAGAGTCATCTGATAGATTACTAGTTACAATTGTAGTAGTATACTTTTAGGTCACTATTCACATTTGAAAACCTATATTTCTTTGTATTGCAGGTATAAAATTATAACATACAGGTGTACATGTACATGTATAAATAATGAACCTTTTTATGTAGTTTCTATTGATGTGGAAAGAAAATGTTATGTAACTTGCATTCATATTTCTTAAGTGGTTGTACCCTTTATTTGAAGTTTAATATTTTATCTTTGAAACTTAAAGAACAAAAAGTCCTGTTTTTTTGAAAAAGGTTTGTTTTTCCAAATTTCATCATATGAAGAACCAATTATTTGCATGATTTGTGTGAAAAGAATAATAAAGTTTTGGAATAGTGGATCTTCAAAACTGTGATCTTTTGAATATCAAACAGTTCTTGTTGGAAAGATATTGAATATAAACTAAACATCGAAGTAATGAGTTATACAAAAAAATTTATGTAATAATTTAAATAGCTAACTTTATTCTTAAGAAGTATTTCAAATAATATTAGATTTAAAACATTTTTTTGGAAAGTAATATTCCTTCTATTTTTGTTTCTATTTTAGGATGTCCAAAAGTTTGTTCTTAAGCCAGAATCAGAACTGAGATTTGAAGTGGATTCCAAAAATAGAATAACGATCGAGGTACCTGTTAGAGTGGTTGTTATTTCAATAAAAGGTTTTTTGCTGTTTTCTTTGATAAAAAGAAGTTTTACATTTCTTAGAATGAACATGTACTCAGGTACAGATATTGGAAAAATTATCTATGTACTTTGTAGTATTTTACTGGAATTTGAGATGTTTTGAACAAAATCATAATGAATTTACAATATTTTGTAAATCACAATAATTAATGTATATTGCGAATTTCATATTAGATAAAAATGATTAAATGGCTTTTATTTTGTTTTCAAAATAAACTAATATGTGATAATTTTTGCTTTTTAAGAATCACTTTCTCATTTTGAAATTTAGATGCATAAGCTCAGTTTAAAGTACATAAAGTTATGGTAATAATTTAAAACTATGTCTGACATTACAAGTGGTTTTTTGATAAGAATCTATTCTAAATCAATTGGCTTGTTTAGTGTTAAGATGTACACTGTATGCTGTTATTTTAAATGTTAGTTACTATCAGTGTTCTCTCTAAGCTGCGTTGCCATACAACAGCCAATCAAGTGCTCCCCACTTCATTGTTCAAGCTGTGCACATCCTTGGTAATGGTGAAGAGTCTCAACACGTTGACAGCCTTAATGGCCCCTGGCAGTCCATAGGCCTAAAGCCCAAATAACCATCTGGTATTATTACAAGGTGGTCTAATGATCTAGTAGGGTCTATGGTCTAAAAATACCCCCACTTTTGAAAATAAACTTGAAGCACGCATCTGCACATTGCCTTCATACTGGTGCACATGAAAAAATTCATTCCGTACATGGACTGAAAAAATTAGAGGGAACATTGGTTACTGTACTTGTACACTTTTGTTGGGTACATGTTGGTATGTATACATGGTGCAACTGAACAAAGTGCCTTTACACTTTGACTTCAAATTTCTAACTTCGCTTTTTATTTTCTTCCATGGTGAAAGTTGAATCACCTTTATTCACCCACTGTGTCAAAGGTAACAAATAGTATCATCATACTTGGTTTCCAAACTCTTGACATACGCAAATCAAATCACCAAGATACTTCACATTTATTACATTTTTCTAACTTGGTACGTATAATATAGGCATAAGTCAAGTAGTATGTTTGATCCGATCTTCAGACCAATTACATGCATTGGTTGTTATTTTGAAAGGTTGTGTCAAAACAAAGAAAAAAAGTTAACTGTATATTGCATTGATAGACACAATTCGAATAATTATTATTATCTGTAGGTTATGGAAGGGATGTTAATGATGATTGGGAAAGGTGTAACACCATGAAAACCAAGGCTGTAAAACAGTAATTGTCTAAAATTAATAAAAATACCCTTCTTTTTAAAGTATTAGAAAAAATCTATAAAACTATATCATAGATGTATATATATTAATGAAAGTACATTCTCTCAAGAGCTTCTTTCAGTTAAACAACTGAGTTCTTTCCTGCTATATTTTTTTACTAATGGCATAGGAGTAGATGGTTTATTAACCCTATGTCAATGATATCATTCCATTTGACCAATGTTGTATCTGTGAAACTATACACAGCAATGATTACTACAATTCTGAATTTACTACATGTATTTTCACAAAATGTAGAAAGTTATTAGGAAACATTACAAGTCTATTGTACACAATCTGACTTTTTAATAAAGTATTTTTACTATCAATTTGGCTGTGAATTTATGAAACCTATACTGAGTCATTGTGACTCAGATTTTGACTTGTATGCGTGCAAGATGGTTTTCATGTTAAGAATAAACATACTTTTTTTAATATCACAGTTTTATATTTCATTTACATAACCTCAAGAACCTCCTCCATCAATAATAAAAGTTTTTTGTTTCAGTAAAACTTTATATTTTATCTTTTATTTTCTATACCATAATACTAACTTTAGTGAAACCATTAATGTATAATGAAATGAAAAGTTGAAAAATATGACATAAAATTAAACAAACTTTTTTCTTTTCTTCATTCAGTGGATCATTTCATTGGATTAATGGCCTTCTGATCATCACAGTTTCTGTTGTTAACCTTTTCACATCTGTTTTCTTTAATTTTATGGTTTTATTGTTGTAGTTCATACAAATTTGAACAGTAGACCTTCTGCTAAACAGTAATATATCATGGCAGTAGCTCATTAGTATGTATTGTAAACACAAGTGAAGTTTGTGATCCACATGATCTTTAATAGTTTACACTGTAACTGCTAGGCCTCATTTTCTTTTTATTAAGTTATTCTTCAAATAAAAATTCATTTAGTTTTAAATATGTATCTTAGAACACAAGAATATATCGAGCACTAGAATAAAATGTCCCAAAACTACTATAATGTAACTGGCTTTCTAACTAAGCTATAAGTGGGCTAAAAAAATTCTGCCATAATAAGCCATATGAGGCAAATTAACTAGATCTGCCAGCCAAAAACAAATAACCATAATAAAATTTTGTTAGCAGTAAAATTACTCTTTTTATTGGTTTCAAACATGCTTATCAAATAAGGACATGTAGTACAGATAAATTTGTTTAAAGCTAAGATAAGTTGGGAGGAGCTTCACTGATGAGTATAACAAATTTATTGTGTCTCAACAGTTTAAGAAGGTAGGAGGTTCATATTTTATATTCTGGCCTGTCAGTATCTGTAGTTTGTGCTTTTAATTAGTGGACATTCTGAAACCCATTAAAGGAATCAGAAGAAATCTAAGAAGGAGAAGTAAAAGGGGAGATGTGTCACATGACATAGAGAAGTGAAGACTGAGAACTTATTCAAAAATTTTCTTTTGAAATTAAAAAATCAAAAATTGTATAATATAAAACATTGAATAATAAACTGTGTTTCAGAAATGCTAACTATCTCTCTGCTCCACTAAGAGCTATTGCCCTGTAAGCAACTGCTGTGGAATTCCCTGAGCGTGAAACGATCCGTGAACATACCCTCACCCCTACACTTGTCAATGTTCACCAGCCTATGATGTAATCACAATAATGCTGTAGTTTTCCACAGAATTCCTGTTGTCATGAAAGTTCTAGAAAAAGTTTTTAAATGTTTGAATGTCATTTCCAGGCCTGGAAATATTATGAAAGGTTTTAGAAAAGTTTTGAAATTTAGAGATCAAGCTGACCCAAAACCTTTCGTGCCATTTAAACATAAATAAATAGTTTGAAAATGTCATTTATCAGTTGAATGAACAGTTTTTCCATATGCACATGTTCACACTATCCTTTCATGTGCAGCATGGGTCCAAGAACATGATCACCATACTTTAACCAATCTGTTGACGGCGTGATTTAACTGGGCAAATAGCTGTTTTTGTTAAACCTTGATAGTTTGGCTATAAGATACTAAAAATACTATTATTTGTATTAAAAGGTTACAATTTTGCATAATATACTTTATAGGGCTTCTAGGCAGATATACGTAGGCTAGATCTTTAATTCCTACAAATCGTTCACTAACAGTAACACAACTAACATTAGAATCTAACATGTCTAATGCTAATACCTAGGCCTAATGTGTTAACTAGATCTAGACTGAACAGATAGATATAGGACTAACATTTAATGTTAAAAGCCTAATTGACTACGGTTAAGCTTAGGCCTAATTGTTTGTGTTTGTGAGGTATAAGAAACATATCAAGCTATTAATGTAACAATTAGATCTTATAGATCAAGTGTTAAATCTAGTTTTTCAAAGATTATGAAACAAATGTATACAGTATTTAGTTATGTGAACATTACATTTTGTTATGCTTCTATATGCTTATGCCAATTATAGAAAGAAGGTGATAAATCTGCATCCAACATTTTTTGAAGTAAAATAATATATTATAAAGCACATCAATAAGTTTTTCATTTAATCTTTTATTAGGTTAACAGCATAGCTAAAATAGTCGATAAATTTATGAGGTGTCAAAATTGTACTGGCATCTCCATTTATTGCAAAATCAGGTTTTTGCACACTAGTGCATGTGCGGCACACACGTCATGCTTATATAGTCAGTAACTATGTAAACCTGTTTGCTGTGTTTACATCACTACATTAAGACCTGTGATATCAAAAAAAATTTAAAAATAACTCAAGACCTAGGAATGTATTGGACATCCAATGCTGCTAAACCAAACCTGGGTCATCATATATGACATCAGTCTAAAGGCAATTTTGTTCATGCTAAGCATAGATCTATTTGTTTGTAGCAAGAAGTTTTCTGTAAAATTCTAGGATCCTTGTTAAAACAGGCTTCACATATTGAAATAATAATAGCAAAATTATAATGATGCATATTAATGCATCTGTAATATAATAAAAAATAAGATTGTTAATGAATAAATGACAATACTTAATTTAAGTAAATCTCAGTAGATATCGTACGATAAAAATTATGTAATGAGTTCTATCAAATTTAAAAAATTAACAGTATTGCATAATAATTTAATACATTTGAGTATTGAATACAATGTTAAAAAAACTGATATAAAATGATTAAATGAACATTCATATTTAATCTTTATTTCCATCCTCCTGTAGATTTGAAGATGCCAAGCCAGTGTAATTTTAAAACAAACTGGTTTTTCAATCAAAACTACCAAGAATGGTTAAAAAGGGATTCACAACCTCGAAAAGCAAAATGTAAACCATGCTAAGGATCATTTGACATCAGCAGCATGGAAGCAGCAGCCTCTTTGCATGATCATATGACAAGCAAGAAACATACAGAAAACATGAAGAAATTGAAGGCAATGTCAAGTAACACTGCTACTACTATTTGCACCTTCTTAAAGCCACTTGAACAGAAAATGCTTATCTTTAAAAATAAAACTTCAACCTTGACTGTCACCAGTTCAACATCCAGTATCTAGTCATTTGTTTCTACTACAGATATTTGAAGATTAGAAGTTTAATGGACTTTTTGAACTACTGATTATCATGGCATTTCATTTAAATGAAAGGATCACAGAACTTTTCATGAGCATGTTCCCCAACAGTGAAATGTCCAAATT